TCTCTTCCTTCCTTCCTTCCTTCCTTCCTTCCTTCCTTTCTTTCTTTCTTTCTTTCTTTCTTTCTTTCTTTCTTTCTTTCTTTCTTTCTTTCTTTTAAATTTGGGTTTATCTGTATTTTCCAGATTGCCCATGAATAGATTATATTATTTTGGGGAGAAGAAAAGCCAGTACTATTTTTAACCTTCTCATCATAGCAAACTTGTAAAATACTTAATCAAGCTGCAAAACAATATTAAAGGATGGTTATATAAAACACTCATTAAGCATTTATTTGATTATTTCTTGAGATAGGAGCCTGAGGGAAAATATTTGGGGGAAAAATTTGTCAGAGAAATCATCACCTCTATGATTCCAGGACTTCCTTTATTCCCTGGGACATCGCAAGCGGGAAACTCAAGCTTCGTTCCAACTTGGACTTAAAGATCCGTTCTCTCCACCATGAACGCTCTTCTTCATCAGAGGGCCTGGTATGTATGCCCTTACCGGGCAGGAGTGGCATTCTTCCACTTCAGAGTGGCATCGAGTGGGTCTATTTCTGCTCTGCCATTGTCTGTGGCGTAAGAACTTCAGTGTGCAACACCAAGCAAGCCGCCCGGCCCAGAGTCAAACTGCAAAACCTACCTCACACCTCCTAGATAGCTTTCGTTTGCTCAAAAATGAAAGCTGGGTTTGGGTGTGTAGGTGTGTGAACTTGGGCTTGTGTATGTGGGGGGTGTGTGTGAGTGTGTACAGCAACTCCACCCAGGATTCTACACCACAGAACTTAGCTCGTTTGCCGCAGACAGGAAGGAGCAGGGGACTCTTGCAGGAGGCTGAGAGGCTAGATAACACGGGACTCGCTTTCTGGGATGCTGGCCGAGCATGCACCCTGACTAGGGCACGCTTCTCTGTCCTCACCTTGCATTCCATCTACGACAGACCTGAGAAGAAGCTGTGTGTATCATTTCACAATGCACCCAACCGCTATAGATCCTGAAAGCCATCTCGTTTGACTGCTCATCGCCTACGGTGAAGCCAGTGAGGAGCACAGCAATTAGCCACATGATCAGTCCTCTAACGCATTTGTTTGGAAGGAAAGAGGGCCCAGGGCCCAGGCTAGCATTAGGAAATATTTCAAGCACACAAAGTTTGTTTTAGGCATATTTTAGCATATTTTTAAACATTTTTGTTTTTTGAGGTAGGGTCTCGTAGAATACTTAAGGCAGAATGTGGGAGGCTTTTGTCTTGTTTTGAACTCTTTTAGGCTAGCCATTTTAGTAGGGCAGAATTGGTTTTGGTTTTGCTCAATTTCAAGCCATAAAGACTTCAAAAGAGCTGGTGTGGTGAGCCCAGCACTGGTGGATTGGGCGAGGAGGGGGAGGCACGAGGGTCAGGAGTTCCCGGCTAGCCTTGTCTACACAGCAAGCTCAAGCCCAGGCTGGGCAACAAGATAGCCCACCTCAACACAAAACAGCAGCAGCGACCACAGCCCGACAACAAAGCCCGACAACAAAACCCATCTAATCTGTGAGTAGTGAGCAAGGGGCATAGAGTCTGTGCTGCCCGGATGTTACCCAGCAGAGCCCACCAGGGACTGGGAACCCTGGGAAAGGCCCTCCTACACTGAAGAGGAGGGGGGACGGTGGAGATCCTGACATGGCTCCTTCAACTCAGGTAGCAAGCATGGATTTGTTTCCAGTGGTGAGCCAGCTGTTACCGCTTCTCTTCCCCTCCCCCCAAATCTTCCTTCACCCTTTGCGGTGTGCTAGCTAGTTCACAAATTGACCTTTGACCTACACACACACACACACACACACCCCTCAGCATGCCTGTCCCTCTCCAGACATTAAAGAAACAGGTATAAAGACATTTTTAAGTCTTAGAGGGTGATGAGAATAATATATCATGTAGCATCTTAGATTACAAAGCATATAATACAATTTTTTTAATTGTTTCATACAATATATTTTTTTTTTCTTCAATGCTGGGGTTTGAACTCAGGGCCTCAGGCATGTTAGGTTGTCTTCTCAGAGAGAAGAAATAGAGCTGCCAGGCCTTTAAGGGCTCTGTCCAGTCTGTGACTCAGGAGGTAAGGGGGATGAAGGGGACTTCACTTCTTGATGGAACAAACAAACAAACAAACAAAAATAAATGCTTAAGAGTGAGGTAGAGAAAGGACTGAGGAATATATCCCACCTCTGATCTCCATGTATGCCCACTGGGTGAGTGCACCATACACAGGTGTGTACGTACACACACACACACACACACACACACACACACACACCCCACAGACAGTGGAAGCAGAAACATTAGTTGGAGAGAAAGGAAGCGCAGCATATTCCAACAGTGACCTCACTCACGAGGAATCACTTTTCTCTCCCTTGATCCTTGGTCTGCGTTTGGTCTGGAATCCTCCTCCCCTTTGGAAGCCCACACCAAGCACTCTGCAGGCTCACACCGGAGACACAAGACCACGCTGCATTCTGCAGGACTATCAAGGGGCGGAGAAACATGCTGATGGATTGGAATGGCAAGACTCTTGCAGCCTTCTGGTAAAGCTGCCTAGATGTTCTCGGGGCTGGTCAGGCTGGAAGAGATTTGGTTAGGTTCCCATCTGTCCAAATTCCCACAAGAACAGTTTGCCGGGTCAGCCGCTCAGACATTGCAACCTGTCAGAAAGCACGTGGTGGAATTCACAGACAGAGGTGATGGTTTTTCTGACTTGAGTATGAAGCATTAGGCGATCGTTGATTTGAATAGAAATTAGGACACAGAACTGTTTCTGGCTTTTATTAAAATAAATTAAAGAGCAGTCAAGTTAAGTTAAATACACAAATATACAGTCACTGAAGTGCTTAATCCTTTTGCAGCTTTTCTAAATATCTTCATTGAACATTTTGAACGCCATGATATTATGCCTTTAACATAATTCAGTCAAAACTGCTTTGTAGTAAACTCTACTATTATGCTAATTATTAAACACTAATTAACAATAGTTACAGTTTCAAGCGATCTGAAATAGGCAGGCTTCCACACAAACACACTCTAAAACAATCAGTAAACACTAAGCATTCTTCAGAGTAGTGATTTAGAGACACAGTCAGAGGCTGCCATTAACAATTCTAATTAGTTTGCTTTTGTTTTGTTGGAGACAGCCTCACTGTGCCGCCTTGGCTGGCCTTGAACTTGGAATCTCCCTTTCTTCCCCTTGATACAAGCATGCACCACCACCATGCCTGGAAAATGCTATCCCAGCCAAGCCTCAATCAAACATTTCACTATTAGGACAAGAATTTATACTGTATCAAGCTGATAATAGAAAAATAAATAAATAAATAAATAAAAATGGGGAAAAATGCTAGCCCAGCATGGTCTTGAACTCTACAGGGAGCCAAGGACAGTGACTTTGAATTTCTTTTTTTTTTTTTTAATTTATTTTTTTTGGTATGAGTGCTCTATCTGCACACATGCCTGCATGCCAGAAGAGAGCATCAGGTCCCATTATAGATGGTTGTGAGCCACCATGTGGTTGCTGGGAATTGAACTCGGGACCTCTGGAAGAGCGGTCGGTGCTCTTAACCTCTGAGCCATCTCTCCAGGCCCTACTAGCAAGATCTTTAGCTATTTCAACAAATGGCAACAATGGCGTTCTACATACGTATGAATTATACATATTTTATATGTCCAGCAGCAGGGATTGGGCTCAGTCAACTTTCAGAGAGTGGGTGTCAAGACATGGTCTTGCTATATAGACCAGGCTGGCCTCCGGTGAGGCCTTTGACTTTCACATAAGGTCCTCCCTCCCCCACCCCCGCCCCCAGTAGATTAAAAAAGAAGAAAAAGAAAAAGAAAGCATGGTGCCCCAGGGACAGCCTTAGAGTGGGCAGCCAGTGATTCCGGGACATTACTGTCATGTGGTGGGTGATTCCTTGTAGTCTGTCTGCTATGGGTCGTGTATGGGATTTTCTCTAACTTGCTGTAAAAGCAGAATTATCAATGCCTCACGAGAAAAAGACAGCAGAGTGTTCCCTGGAGTCAATAGGTAAACCTAGACCACCTTTCACGATCGCCATGCTCCAGCAATGTAAATGCAGAATCAAGAAGACTGGGCTCCACTGAGAAGACCTTCCAGGGTGGAAGCTCAATGTCGTCCCCTCTGTCGACAGCAGCCAGCAGATCTGCTTCTGCTCAGGATGTTACACAGTCAGCTGAAGAGAGATGACGCATGGAAATCTTCCCCTAAATCGAAGCGGAAGCCCCGAGTTGCAGTGTCTAAGAAGCACAACTCTGATGGAATTGAAAGCTTCTCCTCCGTGTGTGTGCCATTTTGGCATTACGGCATTTAAAGAGACTGTTCTAGGAGACGGAGTTGGCATGGAGAAGGCACAGGGAAAAGGAATCAGAATCCTCAGAGCGAATCGGTTCCCGGGGGCACCTTCATTTTCACACTGCTCGTTCGCATTGGAAACACCGAGGATTCCTATCTCGGTACAAAAATATCTACATAGTAAGTGAGCGCACCGGGAGGAACAGGCTCCCTAAATGTTAGGGAGATGGTCAAATTTTAACTGGAGGGCTTGTTTTCTTCCATCAGGTGTGGGGGAGATGTAGCTTCCAGGTATAAGAGGCAACAGTTGATTCTGATAGCAGAACAAGACAAAAAAAAAAATGAGAAAGCAAATTGAAAACCATTTCTACGGGTGCCATTTGGGCTAAAAGAGTTAAGGTAAACAACAATAACAATGAACATACACACACACACACACACACACACACACACACACAGCACAAAGATGGCAAAACTCACCAATTTTAAAATTATTCTTGCTCCCTTTTCCAAAAATTGTGCTCCTCTGATACTTGAATGGAAAATTTGGTTCTGTGAGCTATTTTCAGGGTTCTCATGGTTGTACTATGCCTACTTCAATATGGTACTACTTCTCTGAGCGTGCAGTCCAGGTTTACAAGATTTTCACCAGCTATTCCGCAAGAATCCCCGGAGACAGCATCCTGCCCGCATCATGTTTTTAAAAAGGGGGCCTCCCCGTCTATCAGCTGACACTGGTCTTAAGGAAGTGGTTGCTTTTACCATGCAGAGACCCAGCGTCTTAGTCTAGGTACACAGTTGAACTCCTGAGGCGAAGCCACGGGAGGGAAAAGACCCTTGAGTTTTACCTGTCTCCCTTCTGTAATAGAATAACAGAATGGCAGCAGTCCATCCGGGATAGGAAGCCGACATGAAAGAACCCTTTAGGAGTGACGTTTATGAGGAGAAAGGGTCTCGAGACCACGATTGGGACCTTGAGGTTGAGGGGGAGACATGAGACAGCAAGGGTGCAATATGTGTGAGAGGCAAATACGATGGGGTCTCCAAGGGAAAGAGAGGCTTCCGAATAAAAACCTGGAAAGGACTTCATGACGAAAATAGCCGCGCCAGGACAGCCGAGTGGCCCAAGGTGCCGGACTCAAGAGTGAGGATGTGAGAGACAGGGAGGAAAAGAGATCGCTACCAGGAAAGGGGTGCAGAGCTCCCTTCAGATGAAGTCCCCCAAGGAATCCCTAGAACAAAGAGGTATCAGGTGTTTCGATGCTTTTAGGGGGTTCTGGGACGTTGTACTCCACGGGATTCAGTTCGGCATCGCATACTCGAGAGAGCGTGGGTGAGCCAGGTCCCGGTTAGGACCATAAATTACAGGCTATAAAAAACACAGCACGGTACAGCTTCCTAACTCTCCGTCCCAGGGAGAGCTTCAGGGGGAGGCGTGGCCTGATCTCTTCTGGGGATGGGACCTCATGCAGGAGTGACCACTGTCTTAAAGGGCATTGCTCTTTCCCAGCACTTGTCTTTTTAAAGTTCTCCTCTTTGTGTGTGTGTGTGTGTGTGTGTGTGTGTGTGTGTGTGTGTGTGTGTGTGTGTGTGTGTGTGTAGGGGGGGGCTGGTCTTTTATGGGGATCCTCTCCACTAGGATCCTAGAGAATGTGTAACAAACTCAAGGCTCTACCACTCAGGAAAATCTCCAAATCTCCAAACTCTTTTTTTTTTTTTAATTTTGGAGACAGGATCTTGAAGTGTATGCCAGGCTAGCCTTAAACTTTCATTCGTCTCCCACCCCCACCTACAGAATGCTGGATGCTGGTATTATGGGTATGCATGACCATGACCAGCCAGTCCATCTGTCTGTCCTCTCTGTCCACCCTTCCACTCCCCATCCCTCTCTCCCCCGCCTCTCTCCTTTCTTATGGCTGGGTCTCAGTAGCTCAAACTTCCTATGCAGCCAAGACAAAGAGCGTGGACCATGGATTGCTGACCCTCTTGCCTCTGTCTCCCAAGTTCTGGAATTATACTGAGCGTGTCCTCCCACGCCCCACCCCCACCCCGGTTTACGCACTTCTGAGGATGCAGCTTCATTGCCTGGCTCAGATTCCTTGAGCTCAGGTCCTTGTCTTCCCCTCCTCTTTGCTTTGCTCTCTGGGGATCTGCGTGGGCTGGGTAAAAGGTCTTACAGTGGGTACGTTATGGGGCCCACCATGTGTGGGCAGAGGGGATACAGTTTACCGAGGAAGCCCACCAACACCACACGTGATGCTGGTAAGTGAGATTACCTAACACTTGCCGCGCTTGGAAATCCTCCGTAACAGTGGTTTTCAACCTGGGGGTGGCTACCACTTTGGAGTCAAATGACCCTTTCACAGGGGGTCGCCTAAGACCATCAGAAAACACAGTTATTTTCATTACGATCCATAACAGTAGCAACATTACAGTTACGAAGTGGCGACGAAAATAATCTTATGGTTGGGGGGGGCGGGTCACCACAACACGAGGGACTGTGTTAAAGGGTCGCAGCGTTAGGAAGGTTGAGAACCACTGCAGTCTGTAAAGTTCCTGGTCGGTACTGGTGGGACACACTTGAAGGCAAGGCTAGTACTTCTATGAGTTTAAAGAGTGAGCGCCCCCAAACCCTTTTAAGGCTAGTACAAGGGTCGACTCCCAAGCAACAATTCAACTGGGGTACCCAGAGGTGGGGTGGGGAAGTAGTAACGCAGCCTTTCCCAAGATAACGGTGGGGTGGGGGGTGGGGGGGTGAGAGGTTCTCAAGGCAGCAGGGCGTTTCCTATACATTCATATTGTATTTCAGATCATTGTCTCAGCCTCATCAACAAGCCCTAATCTTTATTAAAATTCTAAAGACTGACTTTATTTGAATACGTATGAGTATTTTGCCTGCATGTATGTATGTGTGCCGCAGGTTTACCTGGTACATGTGGAGGTCAGAGGAGGGCATCAGAGCCCCTGGCACCGGAGTTACAGAATGTTGTGAACCACGGGGTGGGTGCTGGGAACTGAACTAGTGTCCTCTGTAAGAGGAACGAGTGTTTGTAACCACTGAGCCATTATCTTAAACCCCGAGCCCTGATCTATTTGTTATTTAAGTATAAGGGCTTGCAAGCAATTGGTAGTGAAAAGTAAAAGGATCTGTGCAATAAAAATTTGGATACCTAGCAATTTTGTTTACATGGAAATAAGCAAATAAACAACTGAAAATTAGATCAAAGATGGGAGATTAATCAAATACAAAATGTATCCATCGTTAGCCACTGATAAAATTACCAAGTGGATTTATTAATAAATAACATCTATTTAGTTTTTTTAATGATAATAAGTACCTTTTATGTTACATATTACTTATTTTTGGTGCTGATGAGGAGGAAAAATTTCAAGACAAACCTACTATCATGAAGTTTGTTTTAACTTTGGAATTTTCTGCCACGTCGATGTTTCTCATGGGAGTCTGCCGTCTTGTTCCGTCATATTTGCCCATTTTATGATCGATAGCTTGGCTGCTAGGCAAGGGCTCCGTCACTGAGCTATCCCCCAGCCCGGCTTCTTCCTTTGGATCTGGAAAAATTTGTCCCTGGCTTCTAGGAAAAGCCTAGAAAAGGCTGTCTTGGTGGCTCTCCTGGGCAAAAGATGATCCTCTAGACCAGTGGTTCTCACCCTTCCTAATGCTGTGACCCTTTCATACAGTTCCTCATGTTGTGGTGACCCCCCCCCAACCATAAGATTATTTTCATTGCTACTTCATAACTGTCATTTTACTACTGTTGTGAATCATAATGCAAAAATTGTGTTTTCCGGTGGTCTTAGGTGACCCTCATGAAAGGGTTGTTCAATCTCCGAAGAGGTCACGTCCACAGGTTGAGAAACACTGATCTAGAGGCTACTGAAAGGGTTGGGATCCTGTCCCAGTGATGGCAAAATTCACAATGGCGGTTGTGATCAGGGTGCCCTTGTTAGGGTTTCGGTACGCCATCTGGCAGGCTGTATTGTATATCCATCCCGCCAGTGTAACAGAAAGGATGCAATGTCTGATTCAAGTGCAATCTGAGCACGATGCTGTTCACCTCCACTCCCAGCCACTTGGGAGGCCGAGGCAGGAGGGTCACGTGAGCCCACCAGCTCGAGACTGACCTGGGAAACCTACGGACAGGCCCAACCGTAGGGACGTATGGTCAGAATGAGATCTGCCGACAAGCTGGGTCCTTTGCGGTTGCATGTTTATTCCAGCAATCACCGGCATTTACTGAGATAAACAACTAAGTCAGAGCAGCCGCAATCCAAGCCTGGGCGCTCCTCTCGCCTCACTTTGAAAAGGAGAAAAAGGGGGAGACAGCGTGTTTCTAGACCGCTTCACATGGTGAACAACCGAGGTACCTGCTGACGCCTCCTGCGGGCTTTCCTTCTCATTTGCTCCTCTCGGAAAGAGTCGAAGTAGGCGCTGTCCAGCAGCTGGGCGCAGGTCAGCCTGTCGTCTGGGTTCATCTTCAGACAGCCCTTCGGGAGGGGAGACAAAGCGAAGTCGGTGTCAGAGAATGGCTGATGGGGTGACTGGGCATCCCAAACTCCATGGACAAACGGGTAAATGGTTTAAGGAGGCAAGCGGCAGGCTGGATGCCGGCGGCAGGGCGCTGGCTGAGCACACGTGCGGTTCTGGGTTTGAGCTCCAGAGCAACATGAACCGGGTGCCTGTAACCTTAGCATTCAGGGGGCAAGAGGGTCAGGAGTTCAAGATCATCCTCGACTACGTGAGTTTGAGGTCAGCCTGTGCCTGTGCCACGAGAACCTCTGTCACCAAAAATACCAAACAAACAAACAAACAAAAACCCAGGAACACCTCCCCCCAGAAAATAAATAAATAAATGAATAAATAAACCATCAAATTATTGAGTCCTTGTTTGTTTTAGCTTTTTTTTTCTTTTTTTTCAGAGAGAGTATCATGTAGCTCAAATTGTCCTTAAACTTGCAATATAACCAAAGGTGATGTTAAACTCCTGATCCTGTCTCCACTTTCCAAGTGCTGGGATTACAGGCATGTGCCACTATACCTGGCTGAGTCCTTGGAACTCCATCACAGCTAGACATGCTCTCGGCACTCAGACGTTCATGTGTGCGTGCATGCATGTGTGTCTATGTGTTCATGCATGGTTCTGCATGTGTATATGACTGCTTGTGTGCACGTGTATGTATACGTGCATGTGTGTGTGCTCATGATTATGTAGGGGCATACATGTATGTGCAGATAAGCCTGCTCATGTGTGCCTGTGGAGGCTTGAGGTTGATGGTGGGAGTCGCTCTTGATCATTCTCCACCTTATCCGTTAAGCCGGCCAGTACAGCTACTCTAGCTACCTAGACAGCTACAGAATGCCCCTTCTCTACCTTTTGGGAGCTGGGCTCACAGGCAGGCCGCCACGCACACTGACGTTTATGTTCAGGGGATCCAAACTCGGGTCCTCACATTTGCACAGCCAATGCTTCTCCACGGAGGCCCCTCCCTGACCTCCCACTGGGACTTCTAAGAGAAGACTGGGCCCCCCCCCACCCCCCCGCATCAGGGGCTGTCTCTCATCTGTGACATCTTTTCACCGTGAGTGGAAGCTGTTTGTCCAGTCTGGAGGCATCAGCGTCACCAGGAACACGTTAGAAATTCAAGTTCCAGGTCCTACCCTCACCTGCCGAAGCGGGAGAGGGAGGTTTGGGGCCAGCCTGGGCTACACGATACCTTAGCTTGTCTTATGTTGTGGGGGAGTGAGATGTCTCAGAGGGTAAAGGTGCTTGCTGCCAAGACTGACAGGGGTCTATCTCAGGAACCCACACAGCGGGAGATAGAACCAACTTCCACAAGTTGTCCTGTGACCCCCACATATGTGTTGTGGCATGTACACACACACACACACACACACACACACACACACACACACACACACACACGGTAAAGATCAGCTCAAAGATGGAAAGACTAAGCAAACACAATCATCAGCCTCTGGTGAACTGAAAATGTGGGTTTATTAATAAATAGTATTCATCTATTTAGTTTATTTCATATGTTTTACATGTTAGATATTGGTTTTGGTGCCATCGAAGAAATAAAAAGAGAAAATCAAGGAACGTGGAGCTGCTAGTATATATTACATCCGTAAGAACAGGAAGCGGTGAATTAATGCTCTCTGCTAGTGCCCAGCTCACTTTCTCCACTCTTACCCAAGCCAGGATCCCCTGCCCAGGGGATGGGTCCACCCACGGTGGGCAGGTTTTCCCACCTCAGCTAATTTAATCAAGATAATCCCCCACCACAGACGTGTCCATAGGCCAACCTACTCTAGAAAAATCCCTCATCGAGTCCCCTTCCCTGGGTGATTCTAGGCTGTATCATGTTGGCAATCATAGCTAACTGCCACACTTTCAAATCCATCACACTTTCATCCTGATATCATTCACATTCTTATGTGGGGTTTTCAATCCATGGAAATGGAGTCCCCTAAATGCATTGTTTATTCAAAGAGCATTTTCAGAATCTAAGACGAGGCTGCCATCCTGAGATGCTCTGGAGCTTCAGACCAAGAACAATGTCTTGCTTGAGTAATTTTTTTTTTCCCAAGACAGGGTTTCTCTGTGGAGCCCTGGCTGTCCTGGAACTCACTCTGTAGACCAGGCTGGCCTCGAACTCACAGATCTGCCTGCCTCTGCCTCCTGAGTGCTGGGATTAAAGGTGTGCGCCACCACAGCTGGGCGCTTGGTTATTCTTTTGAGCACTAATATTGATTTGATGGAGACAGGGCTCCTGAGTCCTCATCTCCCCAAATAACAGTTTCTGTTAAAAACAGACAAGTCCTTAGAAGGATTCCTCTCAGCCAGCTTCAAACCTGGTAAAAGGTCTGAAGTTGGGATTTGAGAAACAAATGGCAGAGTTCAATGTGGGGTTTGTTTCATTCTAAAAAATAATTTAAAAGTTGTTTGTGAGAGGGTGTGTGTGTGTGTGCAGGCACACGTGTCGGGGTGGGGGTGGGGTCAGAGGATATCTCTGTGAAGTTAGTGCTCTCCAACTTTATGTGGGTTCTAGGAATTGAACTGAGGTTGTCAGGCCTATGCCCATGCCTTTATCACTCTCCTTCTCCTCCTCCTCCTCCTCCTCTTCCTCCTCCTCACATTTAAAATGACTATTCCCGACTTGGGCCATGTGTTCCGCACAGCCCCCCCACACCCAGTGCAGAATGACCAGGTTCAGTAATCATAGTTAATTCCCACATACCTTCATGAAATTTAAAGCCGCAGGCTGAACATTCGAGAATTTTTCTTCAAGAGTTTCCTGGAAAACAAAGAGATTCAGTGTTACATAACCACAAAGTAATGAATATGTACATGTATGTGTGTGTGTATTTCATAGTCTCGGGGAGCTAAATTCACAGCCCGTGCATGCTGGGCAAACATTCATCTCCCCGCCCACAGTGTGTGTCTAACAAAACACTTGGGAGAAACGCCCTTAATATGTTTGAGGACCCTTTTAAAGTTTTTTTAGACACGCTTTTACATAATTTTGTAGTGCAGTATGAAGGTTCAGAGATCTAAAACTAGGGTTGCTTTCTTAATTTTGCAGTGGATTACTCTTGGTGTTAGTAGTCCTGGGAGGGAAGGGAACAGGGACGCTTCAAATATGAGACGCCCCACGGGAGATCCTGCCGCAGTAGTTAGTTGTTGGGGCCTGGCATATGAACGAGGGTGCTCTGAGCATTCTTGAGAACATACTGAGACACACTACAGCAATCGATGGGAGGTGAAGCGTCTCAGAACAGCCGGGGGTGAGAATGGAAAAAATCGCAAAGTTGATAGCAACATTCTGCCTTTCAAACAGAACAGCAGCGGGGGGGATTCGCTGTTATCTAATTCTTTACAGTAGACACGTGACATGAGTAATTCTTGTGTGACTTTTTCTTTTTCCATTTTTTCATGTGTGTGCGTGCATGTGGGGGGGGGGGATGTGCATGTGTGTGTCCATGGAGGCAAAGGTTGAGAGGTCAAGAGTCATCCCCTACTGTCCTCCATCTTTTCACTGAGGCAGGGTCTCTCAAACCCAGGGCTTATCAATATGGCTGGGCTCTCTAGCCCGCTGGCTTAGGAATCACTTTCTGAGGTGAGAACTATCGACAGGCCACCGCGACTAGCCAGCCTTTATATGGACCTGGGGGCCTCCAATCTCTCTTCCTCACACTCAAGTGAGACACATGCCTTCACTGCTGAGCCATCTGTCCAGCCCCCCCCCTTTTTTTTTAACTTTTATCTTTGTAAGTTAACCTTTAACCTTGTATTGTATTTGTGAAAAATCTTACAAACTATGTATAGCAAAAAATAAAAAAAAAATTAAAAAGAAAATCTTTGGTAAATGGAGGCATCACATGGCATCATGGACTTGAATCACATGGCACATGGCACCATCCCGCTTCTCGGGTTTCCCATGTTTGAGCGTCCCCGGCTGCAGCCTGGTGGTGTGTGGTCATGCCTCTCCTGAAGGTTCTGTCTTTCCCTCCACTGGATGAATGGGCAGACAGTACGGAGATGGTTTGTGTTGGTATTGGCCTGAGACAGAATCTCCCTCTCTCTGTCTTCCCGGTTGGCCTGAAACTCACCATGTAGACCAGGCTGACCTTCAACTTGTAGCATCCTCCTGCCTCTTGCTTCCCCAGAGCTGGGATTACAGGCTTGTGTCACAACACCAAGATCAACACGGTGTTTTTTTGGGGGGTCAGAACCCTGAGCTTAGGTGACCTGATAGAGGGAGCTAGACCATGCTAGACTAGGAGCAGACATGTCCATGGATCAAGAACTGCAAGGGTACACAGTAGATTTTGTAGAATGAACTTCCAGGAGGAAACGCAAATTCTGAAACAAAGGTGTTTATTATTTATTTATTTTTTTATTTTTCATTTTTATTTTTTATGGAGGGCAGTGGGTAGCCCAGAGTCTCCTCTATGTTTCAGGCTGGACTTGAACTCATAATCCTGAAGCTACTGCCTCCCAGGTGCTAGGATTATAGGTACACTGAGCCTGACTTGGAAAATGTTTTTATTTCTATTGCTCTCAGCTTTGTCCTGTAAGATGGAAAATACTTAAGAGAGAACATACCTTCACAATAAAGAAAATTGTCTGAAGTACTATTTATTTGTGAGGAAGTAATTATTTCAGGGAAAGTTAACTTTAAGTGTTTGACCAAAAACATCAAGGTGTTGTGTGATACTGCGCATGATTTAAATTTAAATGTCCATGAGTTGTGGAAGAGTTAGGTCAGGCAAACGGTTACTTTCCTTTATCACCTTTATTAATTATTATTTTGGTATTATGTGGTGGGGGGGGTATTTGGTATTATGTGGTAGGTACACCTGTGTGCCAATGTGCAAAACCACATAAGTGCGTGGGGAGACCAGAGGATGACACTCGGTATCCTTCTCTATTGTCTGCTCTTCTTCTTTGAGTTAGGGTCTATCACTGACCCTGGAGCTGTTTTTTTTTTCCCCCTTTTATTTTATTTTACAATACCATTCAGTTCTACATATCAGCCACGGGTTCCCCTGTTCTCCCCCCTCCCACCCCCTCCCTCCCCTTACTCCCAGCTCACCCCCCATTCCCACCTCCTCCAGGGCAACCTGGAGCTGTTTTTAAGTCAGGCCGGCAGTCAGCAAGCCCCAGTGTCCCAGCGTCCCCTGTTCCCACTGCTGGCACAGCCACACCCCCTTTTTGCATTGGTGCTGGGTCCTCATTGTTTATATAGCAAGTGCTCTTAGCCTCTGAGCATCTCTCTGTCCCTGAGAGAGAGAGAGACAGAGAGACAGACAGAGACAGAGAGATTTACTATATAGCTCTTGTGCTAATCGACCTGAGTGTTGGGATTATAGCCATGCTATGATGCCTGGATTTTTATAACTAGTTTTTGAGTCAGGGCCTCAAAACTGCCCAGGCTGGCTGGCCTCGAGCTCTTGAGCTCAAATGATCAAGCATCTCCAATAGTTAGGAATTTCGTTGTGTCCCACTGTCCGTGGCTTATGCCTTTTAAACGGAGTTACTTCGATTTTGCATCAGTGTTTCGTGTGGGAAACAGCAGCCCCCAAAGCACCCATGTGGAACACGCATCTGCTTACACAAACAATACAAACAATAAACAATCCAGCCCAGAGCTGTTTACCATGTCTTCTGGTTCAGGTATGCTGATGCCACGGAAAAACTGGTTACTTTTAAAGATAGACTGATGTCTTGGGATGAGTTTTCCTGTAAAACACAAACCACACAGCTCACGATAACTCGGGCTAGAAAATCATAAAGCGTATCGTAAAAATCTCCTAGGATGGGAGGTGTTAAGGAAACACTGTGCCTGAGTGTTCCCTGCAGACACTGGCAGTGTGAACCTGTGCAAAGGCCCCTGTGTTCTGGTGAGGACCACTCTCCACACAATCCTCCTTGCCAAACACCTCCCTGTAAGACTGAGTGAGAGAGTGTGGCTGGGGTTTTCATCTCCTTCCCTAACATTGGCTGGACGGAATTGATAGCTTCTCTATGCTATCAGGACCTTGTCTGTTCCGGGCTGGCCTCAAACTAGGTAGCCAAGCATGACCTTGAACTCTTCACATTCCTGCCTCTGCTTCCCAAATTCTGGGGTCACAAGCATGGGCCACCATGCCTGATCCATGCAGGGCTGAAGTTCAAACCTAGGGATGGATGCATGCTTGACAAGCACACCCTACCACTGAGCTGCGTGCCCAGCCTGAGAACTGCCCGTTTTTATTTCCGCCAGATCAGTGAGGAAATGAGGCTAGAGAGGTTCATTAGCTGGTCATACGAATGGGAGTCAAAGCAGGTCTGTCTAAAGAGTTGGGGAGCTGAGCACACACACACACACACACACACACACACACACACACACACACATACACACACATACACACACACACGTAGAAGGGGTGATCCGCAGTGATGCTCTGCCCCACACTTTGGTGTTCCCCAGGAGAATGAGGAGAGAGAAGCAAAGAGCTGCCCAGCAAAAGCCAGAGCAGTTCTGGGAAAGAATCGGTGTATTCATCCTGTGGAATGAGGGATTGATTAATGGCTTTGCATCCAGCCTCCTGGGGTGGCTCTGTAGCCTACACTGGGTCAGATCCCCTTCCAACCACGGGAGACTGCAACTTCTGACTGTCGAGAATAACACAAAGCTCATGAGTCAAGCTTTCAAGTGGGCTCAGTGGGAGAGGGCTTGCTTAGCATATTTGAGAGGCCCTGGTTCCACCTCCAGCATCATACACACACACACACACACACACACACACACACACACACACACACACACGCGCGCACACACACACACACACACACACACACACACCCAACCTCTCCAATCTTATTTCTATTCTTCACCTTATGGGGGTGTATGACTTCAGGCTAACCATGGAGGCTTCCGGAACCTTAGTTTCACTTATAAAATAGGTAAAATTAAAAGTGATGTAACTTGGGGCTGGAGAGATGGCTCAGCAGTTAAGAGCACTGGCTGCTCTTCTACAGGACTCAAGTCCAGTTCCCAGAAGCAACATTGGTCAGATTCACAACTGTTTATAACTCCAGCTCCAGGGGTGTTCTGCAGCCTCTTCTGTCTCTGTGGGCATCTATACATCTGTGAGTGTGCGCATGCGCATGTGCATGTGCCTGCACGTGCACGTGTGTGCACACACACAAATAAAAATAAAACAACCCTTTTGTTTTTGATTTTTGTTTTTTTGAGATAGGGTCTCTCTACATAGCCTTGGCTATCCTGGCACTCACGAGGCTGGCCTCGAACTCACAGAGATCTGTCTGCCTCTGCCTCCCGAGTGCTGGGATTAAAGGCATGTGTCATCACACTTGGCCAAAATAAAACAAATCTTAACCCAGCATTTGGGAGGCAGAGGCAGGTGGATCTCTGTGAGTTTGAGGCCAGCCTCGTCTATAGTGTGAGTTCCAGGACAACCAGGGCTACACAGAGAAACCCTGTCTCGGAAAAAAAAAATCCAATAAAACTAAAACAAAACTAAAAATCTAAAACACCGTGTCCCCCCAGATATAAATTCCTTAACAGGTTTTATTTTATTTTATTTTATTATTTATACTTCACTCATGTAAAGTACTGTACAAGCTGCCAAGGGAGAGAAGCAGTTAACTAGTCCTGACCAGCCACAACACCTCTAACCAGGACAATTACCAGCATGCAAGCTATGCGTAAAAGTGCAATAGCGGTACCCACATGTTGGTGACAAGCGACAGCTGTCTAACTGCACGTAAGGCCCATGCAGAGGGAGGGAAGTCACGTCCGGCACTGGAAACCTAACCAGCTTCCCTGGCCTAGTGAGGTCATGGGCTTTGGAAAAGAATACACTACAGCCACTTGTCTTGACCAGCAATAAGTCCTTACTGCATTCCAAATCTTATACTTACACCCACAGGGAAGTACAGCCACAACCCTTCACCCGAAAGGCCCCTCTTTATAGCAAATAGAGACCATCACAGGAAACCACAGCTGGACACAACGCAGAGACCCACAGGCCATGGGGAGGGAGTCCGCTACCATGGAAACACCGACATTGCCGCTCCTACATCTGTGGTTCGGGCAACATCAAGGAGAAGGGGTGGGAAGAGGGTAAGAGCCAGAGCCCCAGGAAGTCTGTAGAGAAAGAGTCCTTCCTAGACATGGCAAGACTGGAACAAACAATAGCAGTGTCCACAGATGCACCAATGTGGAAGGGGGGATGTTCACGGGGTCCCGCTCCGAACTATGGGCAGCTCACGACTCCTGAGAGAAGGGAAATTAGGCTCTTCCGGGGATGAGCTCCCTTACTGGTGGCAGGCTGGTCAGCCACAAAGCCATATACACACAAATAATAAAAATGGACTCAGTAGGTTTTATATGTATGTACACATATATAAATGTGCATATATTCACATACATATACATGTATATATATATATACACATATATATATATATATATATAATAATCAAAGAAAAAGAGGCTGTCACCTTGGGCGTGGGGGAGCATGGGAAGGGTTGGGGGGAGAAAAGGGAGGGGGAAATGTGACATAATTCTATTTCAATTAAAAACCAATTAAGAAAATGATAAAAGATTAATATGGAAAAAAGGAGTTGCTTTATTTTCCTTATATGTATGTCTGGGCAGTAGGGGTGGGGGTAGGTGTTCCGCACATGAATGCAGGGCCAGAGGTGTTGAAGCCCCTGGAGCTGGAGTTACAGGCAGTTAAGAGCCACCTGAGACAGGGGCTGGGAACCAAACTTGGGTCCTCTGCAAGAGCAGCATGAGCTCTTAACTAACCCCTGAGCCGTCTGTCCAGATCACAAGGTTTTTTTCTTAAAACCGAGAATTCCTAACTTGTAAGGCGCTGTACCGATGAATTACGTTAATATCACTTTAAATGTTGGCTGCCCTGATCAGGAAATCATATGAGACTTACTGGATTTCCTTGGCAAGTCCTCTGCAGACTCACGGCTGGCCCTGTGTGTTCAGCCAGGACTGGGCTTCGGCGACAGCCGAGAGACCAGAGACCTTCCCCGCAGAGCCTCTGAGAAGCAATGTGCTTCCTGCTCTCGTGGCCTTATCTATCGCATGGGTGCCAGAAGGCACACGTGGACCACAGAATGCAGTTCATACCCAGTGTCCTGATGATCAAATAAAGTTGGTCCACGTCTGATTTTCCTGGCCAGAGCGGCTGACCCGTCAGGAGCTCCGCAAAAACACAGCCCACGGCCCACATGTCCACGGAGGAACCGTACTTCGTGTCTCCCACGAGAAGTTCAGGGGCTCGGTACCACCTGGTGGCAACGTAGTCCGTGTAGGCGTCTCCTGGAACTGCGAGGGAGAGCATCAGGCAGATCAGATGATGTCGTCTATCCTGGCCTGAATGCCTCTGACCCACACTCCCCAGAGCGGCTGGTGCGGCAGCTCATTCAGAGGGCTTCTGTGGCTCTCAGCCCGGAGAAGACACTCACTGGGCCAGGGCCCCAGTGAACACTGAGTGCGCCCTAGCTGGAGAACATGGGAGAACTGTCCCGGACAGGTGTGAGAATTCCTGTCCTGTCACCTGAATCCAAGCCAGATCTCACTTGTTTCTATTTATCATCAGCACGGTGCTTGGTTTTCACTAAACGGTGTCCTCCAAAACAAATAAACAAACAAAAAAACCAACATAGGTTTGAAGTCCCAGTTTGTGATACCTGTGAATTTGACTTTGTGTGGAAATAGGGTCTTTTCAGACATTGCTGAGTTACAGTGAGGTAGATCCTAAATTCAGGGACTGGTGTGTATGTATGTATATGTGGAGAGAGAGAGAGAGAGAGAGAGAGAGAGAGAGAGAGAGAGAGAGAGAGAGAGAATATACGTGCATGGATGTAGCCAAAGATTCCCCTTAGGTATCATTCCTCAGGTCTTTGTTCCCCACACCTACTCACCCCCCCCTTTTTTTCTTTTGTTTTTTCGAGACAGGGTTTCTCTGTGTAGCTTTGCACCTTTCCTGGAACTCACTCTGTAGCCCAGGCTGGCCTCGAACTCACACCCTGAACATGCCCGATCTCGGAAACTAAGCAGGGTCGGGCCTGGTTGGTACTTTTTTAAAGACAGTGTCTCGTGTATCCCATGTTGTCTTTGAACTCCTAATGCCCCTGCCTCTACCTTCAAGTATAGAGATGAGAGGTGAGCCGCATACCTGTTTATGTAGCACTTCATGTGTGCGAGGTAGGGCACTTGAGCATCCCAGCCACGTCCCTAACCCTTACCTTGATTCGAGACAGACGCTCACTTTTACCTGGAATTTCCTAATCTGTGTGTAGGCTGGCCGGCCAGCAGAGCCTCGGGGATCTGCTTGCCTTTGCCTCCCCGGCAAAGATTATAAACAAGCACACAATATAACACACACACACACACACACACACACACACACACACATTTAACGTGGAGCCTGGGGATTGAACTCAGGTTCTCAGGATTGTACAGCAAACGTTTAACCATCTGAGCCATAACTCCAGTCCAAGGACTGGCATTATTGCAAGGTGGCCCTACAGGGACACAGAGACAGACAGACAGACAGACAGACAGACAGACAGACAGACAGACATGTGAGTTAGAGCAGATGCTGAAGGCAGTGGTTTCCAGGTGAGGAACAGAACAGCCTGGGGTGTAGGAAGGAGCCTCCAGGACCAGGAGAGACCACATTCTATTGCTTGACACCTCGTCGTGTGTTGTGGCTGTTCACTGTGGCAGCCACAGAGACCACGGAAGCCTCTTGGATGGCTGGCTGCTCACACTGACTTTCCCTGCCCATGACTGTTTTTCAGGACTATGGTGACAACCTGGTTTGACTCCTTGCCCCGTGAGTCATTCCTGCATGACTGACAGATGACTGACAGATGATGGAGATCTGGGTGAAACCGTTCCCGTCAGACATGTCCTTCTGCCCTGTCAGGTGAGTGGAATCCAACCAACCCCATGATGCTGCGTGAGCCGGAAGGTCCTGGGACTCTCAACTCTTCTCCCTCTGAGGCTGGAGGGGAGTGGATGAAACAATTCCCATGGGCCTTTCGGTGACAAGACTCACATGTGAGTTCTTGGACCAAGTCCACAGATGGACCCCAGACAAAGAACTGGTACAAGAGTGGCTTGCAGAGATGGGGGGATGGGCGCTCCTCTGCCTTTAAAAAACAGGTCTGGGGCCCGATGAGACGGCCGGATGGGTAGAGGTCTTTGCCGCCAACCTCGACCACCTGAATTTGAAACTTGGGAATTACATGGTAGTGGGAGAGAACCCACTTTGGCAAGTTGTTCTGTGACCTCCACACGTGCTCTGTGGGGTACACACACATCAAATAAATGTTCTCGTTGTTTTGTTTTCATTTTGAGAAAGGGCCTCTTCTTGTAGCCCCCATCTGTCCCAGAACTCTCGAAGTAGACCAGGGTGGCCTCGAACTTATTGTGATTCCCCCTGTCTCTGTCTCCCAATTGCTGGGATTAAAGGGGTGAGCCACCATGACAGGCAGTTGTGTGTTTTGTTTGTTTGAGACAGGGTCTTATGTAGCCCTGGCTGGCCTCAAACTCATAGAGAGATCTGCCTGACTCACTCAACCTCCTAAACTCAGGACTGAAGGCGTGCGCCGTTTCTCGGCTTGAGACAAGATTTAATTATGTAGCTAAGTCTGGATCATCCTCTTTCATTTGCCAAGCCCTGGACGACTTACAGGTATGTGTTATTACGCTGGAGTGGCGACTCTCCTTAGTCAGTGACAAACAGCAGTGTGACCACCACGAAAGACAGCTCACAGTCCAGAGGCTGCCGCTCATCACTCAATAGTCCCCGGAGCAAGAACAGAAAATAACCTCGACTATCCATGGCTCTTTCAGAAAATTATATGAACTTTTTTTTTTTTTTTTTTGAGACAAGGTCTTGTGTAGCCCAGGCTGGCTCAAACTCCCGAAGTAGTCAAGGATGACCTTCAAGGTCATCTCTACCTTCTCAAGTGCTGGGATTACAACAATATTCCTCCATGCCCAGTGTATGCAGGGCTTCCGGAATGCTAAGCCAGCCCTCTACCATTTGAGCCCAGGTCCTATACATTTATTTCCTGTGTAATTGTACTGACATTGCCTGTATACAGTTAGCTTTTTTGCTTAAGGTGTCTTGAACATTTTTCTTCTTTCTTTCTTCCTTCCTTCCTTCCTTCCTTCCTTCCTTCCTTCCTTCCTTCCTTCCTTCCTCCCTCCCTCCCTCCCTCCCTCCCTCCCTCCCTCCCTCTCT